TACAGCCACCTCGTACACGACTTCGATCAGGCACCATTACTTCTGTTAATTATAAAACTAAATATGGCTTGGTTGTATCTGATACGTCTACAGGAGAACCTCGTACTATTCATGAAGCGCTTGCTGATCCAAAATGAAAACATGCCATGGATGAGGAGTTTTGTGCCCTTCAGAAAAATCATACATGGCACCTTGTTCCTTCCTCTCCGGGTACCAACCTTATTGATTGCAAGTGGGTTTTTCGCATCAAACAGAAGTCAGATGGTACCATTGACCATTATAAAGCACGTCTTGTTGCTAAAGGATTCAAACAGAGGTATGGGCTTGATTATGAGGATACTTTCAGTCCCGTTGTTAAAGCAGCAACTATTCGTCTGGTTCTTTCTATTGCTGTCTCTCGTAGTTGGTGCCTTCGTCAATTAGATGTGCAGAACGCGTTTCTTCATGGTGTTCTGCAAGAGGAAGTATATATGAAACAACCTCCTGGGTTTGAAGATCCAAACAGGCCATTCCATGTCTACAGATTAGATAAATCACTTTATGGACTGAAACAGGCTCCACGAGCATGGTACTCTCGCTTGAGCTCCAAATTGCAAAGTCTTGGTTTTGTTCCTTCCAAGTCTGATACTTCTCTGTTTATCTATCGCCATTCCAACACAACTATTTTTGTGCTTATCTATGTTGATGATATTATTGTCACAAGTTCCTCCAATAAGGCAGTTACAGCTCTCTTGCAAGTTTTACAGGCAGATTTTTCTCTAAAAGATCTTGGTGACTTACATTTTTTCCTTGGTATTGAAGTCAAGCGAAACCAGGAAGGTGGTCTTCATCTCTCTCAAGAGAAATATGCCACTGATCTTTTGAGCAAGGCAGGATTGCAGGGCTGTAAACCGTCACCAACTCCTCTCTCCAGCTCAGAAAAGTTGTCTCTCACAGAGGGTGTGCTTTTGAATCAAGAGGATGGTACTAAATACAGGAGTCTTGTAGGAGCACTTCAGTACTTGACACTTACGAGGCCTGATATTTCATTTGCTGTCAATAAGGTGTGTCAGTATCTTCATGCACCTACCTCTGCTCATTGGACTGCTGCTAAACGTATACTGAGATATGTGAAGAATACACTAAGCATTGGTCTAACGTTTACCAAATCAACCTCTACACTTGTTAGTGCCTTTTCTGATTCTGACTGGACAGGTTGCTTAGATGACAGAAGGTCTACAGGTGGTTTTGCAGTATTCTTTGGACCCACTTAATCTCTTGGTGTGCAAAGAAACAAGCCACTGTGTCAAGATCAAGTACTGAGGCAGAATACAAAGCACTAGCCAATGCTACTGCAGAAATTATATGGGTCAAGTCTTTGCTCAGAGAACTTGGAATATTTCATACACAAATCCCATGTCTCTGGTGTGACAATATTGGAGCTACTTATCTCTCTGCCAACCCTGTTTTTCATCCTAGAACGAAACATATCGAGATTGATTATCATTTTGTTAGAGAGAGAGTTGCTAGCAAAGAATTGTAGATTCGGTTTATACCTTCAAAGGATCAAGTGGCTGATGGATTTACTAAAGCACTGTCAACAGGATTGTTTGAACAATTCAAGCGTAATCTGAACTTGAGGAGTTCAGATTAAGGGAGGATGTTAAACACATTGTTATAAGGCTGTTGGGCCGAGTATCTCTTATATCTCGATGGAGTAGTTGGGTGTTGTATCTCCTTCTATCTCCTGTTTAGGGGTTGTTTGGATACGGGATTTATGCCAAACCTGTTTCCACTATTCGTGTTCAGGATTCTAACCGTCTAAAACTATGTTTGGTTGATCCAACAAATCTCAGGATAAGGAAAACTTGGTTTCCCATAAACCAGGAAAACGAGTATTTAGAAAAACGACTAATACTCGTTTTTCTACAAACCAGTTTAGCTTATCGTTCGTTTCAATCAGACTCTAGCTTCCATGAGACATGCGCCAGTGGGTAGCGTTCAAGTACGTCTACTAGGGCAAGGTTAGCCCCGTTCCAGGTGCCCTGACTGCTCCTCAGCGAGGACGATGGCCGCGTTTCTCCTGTGACTGTGGGCGTGCTCGGCGCCGCTGCGGTCGTCGTGTGTGTGACGAGACGAGATGTACATGGCTTTGCTGGAAACGACGGCGTGCAGCGTCCAGTAGAACAAGGTCGCATTCCGATTCCAGGTGCTGGTGTGAGTGCCCCGGCTGTTGCTCGCTCGACCGTCATCCGTCAACGAGGTGCGCAAATCTAGCAAGTTGGTGCCGCCGGCGAGCCCACCATTCTTACCGTCAGTGAAGCAGCAGGTGGGGCAAGCGACGGCCTGAGACCTCCTCAAGGAGCGGCTACTCGAGCAGTCCAGCTCTGTCCCGTGCCCACGCCATTCAGCCTCGAGAACACCTACCTCGCGCGCTCTTTTGCGTCGCGTAGATCAGCTGAAGACAAGGCCGACACAGAGCAGCACAGTGGGGTTGATGGCGGTGGTGACGCCGCCGAAGACCAGCTTGTCGCCACCGGCGTCCCGGCCTGGTCAGACGCAAGGAACAGTGCAACCTCCGTCACGTCGACCGCGCGGCGCGGGCAGCACCTTCCCACGCAGCACGTTGTGCGTCTCTGTCATGGCCTCCGTCTCCTCGGCGCTCACGGCCACCACGGCGCAGCTCAATGACGTAGCGCCTGAGTTCCCCGGCGGTCGCATGCACCAGGCCCAGCATCGGCCAGCAATTTGATGGACATGACGTGATCAAGCACGCCCAACTCCATGTTCGTGATAGGCATGTCGAGAGCTGCGGAATGTGCCGTGGTCGACGTGCTGGGCATGGTGCCTCCCATGTGAACAGCTTGGAATCTTTCTCAAGGTTGAGGATGACCCAAAAGAGACAGTCCAAACAAAGTATTCTATAAACTAGTTTTAATAAAACAACAACTTAAAACTGGTTTTCCTAAAAATACTCCTAAAACTGATTTAGCTAAAACTGGTTCCAAATACTAGTTATCCAAACAACCACTTAAGATCTCCTGTAATATCTCTTGTTGGTTAGATAAGACTCTGCCAACTCTTGTAACACAAGTCATCAGTCAATATATATCCTATGCGGCTCCCCTGTTGGGAGTAGGAACACTTACCCAAAGTCTTACACACGCATCCTTTTAGCGCGGCAGTCAAGCAAGATGACTTTTTCCGTGCGTCCCTCAGTTGCATCAGCAGGAGAAAACAAGCAAGAAACGTTACATCCATACATAAAAGGCCACTCCCCTTCAACCACACGAACACCTACTATTGTCGCCTGGATTGCTGCGGATCTGCATGGTGTCACACCGCTCGATAGAGCGGTAACTTTGGTTGGCAGTGAACGATGCTGTATGTTCAAACTGTGCTCCATACTTCAATTTCAGGTCAATTTGAAACAAAACAGGTTCGCCAGCCACAATTGCATGAGACGGGCCAATCAAGTGCAAGAAAGGGTCCTGTGAGCATCATGTTCCTCAACGTCAGTCACACACATCAGGCAAAATAACAGTTTTTGAACTAGACATAGTCTAACAGAGATTACATGGCTATAATTTGGCCAGAAACTGAAAGAAATAGTTCCCAAACAGATCCTACTAATCTCTACCACTATAATACACCGGTTATGAATTTGGATTTACAACCGGCACCCACTGCTTCCACACCCAAAGAGAAACAGCAGGTCAATATTCAGATTTTACAACCTTTGCATATCTCTAACCTCCATTGATCACACAACCACCCAATCAGGCGGCCAATGTCAGCCGGATTCGCTCAGCCTTGGCCGCATTGCTTGTGCGATATACAAATATAAACATAACATCACAGGGGAGAAACATATATTCAACCATGATTTGGCCGTTTCACAAGGCAAGTGGTTCTTCTACCTAGAAGACTAACATCTATCCAGTCAACTAGCAGTTTCAGAAACCCAAAACTGCAGAACCAGTCTAAAACTGAACATAATCAAATATGTTGCTGCCATATGAGGGTCGAGTGTTCCAGACCCAACCGACCATGCAGTATCATAACCTACATGGAAATTCAGAGTCTGCAATTCAAGAAACATAACCCACGTGTATTGCTGCGTGAAAACCCTAGGATCTGGTGTTCCAGACCGGACGATGGCGGCACTGCGGTGTCGTTTCTCTCTTGGGAGCGTCGTTTTGTGGAGCAGCGCTGGAAGTCAGAGGCAGGAGGTGGAGCGGCTTCGTCTTGCACGGAGCTTCGGTGGAGATGTCAAGTCATGTCTGAGCGACAGGTGCTACACTTGGTCATGCCTAGTCGGAAGGTGCTACGCACGACAGATCCACCAAGGGCTTCAAGCTGTGTCGGCTGGTGGTACGTGGCAGCATGGCGCTGAGGTGTATGAGTGGCGAAATCGGCGTGTACAGCTGTTTGCGTGCAGGGAGGAGGTGCTGTTGGGCGCCGTGGTGGCGTCGACGATAGCTGGACCTAGCAAGGTTGATGCATCAGTACAGTTCTGAAGATGGAGCGGTGGCAGTTGGCGATGGCGGCCTCTGAGAGCACGCTGGACCAGTGTGTGCCCCAGACCCGACAAGTGGTTAGGTTGGGGTCTCAGGTATTAGATGTTAGGCTTGACTGCGATGTATATTTGGTATTAGGCACAGGCTATATGCGCCGCTTCATCAACTGGATAGGTGTAACGACAGTTTGTTGCTTAGACGGCGGCTTTAGTCTTACTGTTGTATGACTTTGTAAGGTCTTGTGAGAATAATTAATAAAGTGGCCGTATGCATCGCCCAGATGCAGAGGCCGGAGGTCATCCTCCTTTTCTAAAAAAAAACTCTTACAACTTTTTTTCCATTAGACCACCCTGCTTGGACCTGCACATTAAAAATGTTTAGTAACCAAGTTATCAGACCAAAGTGTGAAACTAGTATCATATATCTGGGGAAAAAGACCAAGCCTAAGCTAAGCTCACAAATCAAAGGTAAAAGCCTAAGCCACTGCCACTCCTCACACCTTCAATAACCATCGAGTACATGATCATGCTTGTCCATGACAAGGCGAGACCAAGCAACAACTATCTCCAATGTGGAGCCATCAATTGAGCATCTACAACTATTTGTCTGACACTGCTGGATAGGAAATTCGACATGATATTTTCGAACAATATTGAGTCCGGACTTTGAGTATGCTCCTGTGACGACTCGGAGTGTGCCCTGCAATCCCACTGCCACAACATTTCTTGACAAAGAAAGATACCCATCTGATCCTGCACGCATCTTTTTAGCACGACAGTCAAGCAAGACGACTTCTGCGGCGCATCCCTCCGTTGCATCAGCAGGAGAAAACAAGCAAGAAACGTTACATCCATACTTAAAAGGCCACTCCCCTTCAACCACACGAACACCTACTATTGTGGCCTGGATTGCTGGAGCAACTCGCCCAAGTCTTATCTTTGCTGTACAACAGGAGTTGCGGATCTGCATGGTGTCACACCGCTTGATAGAGCGGTAACTTTGGTTGGCAGTGAACGATGCTGTATGTTCAAACTGTGCTCCATACTTCAATTTCAGGTCAATTTGAAACAATACAGGTTCGCCAGCCACAATTGCACGAGACGGGCCAATCAAGTGCAAAAATGGGTCCTGCAAGCATCATATTCATCAACGTCAGTCACACACATCAGGCAAAATAACAGTTCAGTTTAACTAGACATAGTCTAACCATGGCCATAATTCGGAAAGAATCTCAAAGAAATAGTTCCCAAACAGATCCTACTAATCTCTACCACTATAATACACCGGTTTGAATTTGGATTTACAACCGGCACGTCCTGCTTTCACATCCAAAGAAACAGCAGGTCAATATCCACAGTCGATTTTACAACCTTTGGGTATCTCTGCCCTCCGTCAATCACACGGCCACCCAATCAGGCGGCCAATGTCGGCCGGATTCGCTCGGCCTTTGCCCATGTGCATGCTGCATTGCTTGTGCGATATACAGAAATAAGCATAACAGGTGCATGTGCCCTGCCATCATCCAGAGACAGCCTCAGCATGTGGGAGACTACTTTAATTATTGGCTTTTTTTGTTGCTGATTTGCTCTATGCTCGCTAAATATGGCAGAAAAATTTCAACATACATACGGCTTGGCCTGCATAACTTGCCTAAAGCTGATACCGACTAGTTTGAACCTTAAAAGAATCTGGTTAAACAAAACAATCCCAAGGTATGCAGGTAACCAATCAACTCAGGTTAAACTACAAACATTATGCAACCATTATAACTTAATCCTTTGTCACACATCAAATGCTCTTCATATAATACTTTTGGGGAACTTGAAGGACCAAAAACATACTTTTATCTTATAACAATTAGACGAGAAGATAGACATTGTACAGACCTCTTTCTTAATTCTTTGGCAGTTTGCACTTGACCGGCGGAAGAGAATGTTAAGATTGTTGTCAAAATCGTCCCGTGCAGCGACCACGCCGTAGACATCAAGTGGCCAACTCAGATTCGGGTTAAGATTAACGAGCCTGACTGAATAGATCTGCAAGGCAGGGCCTGCCACGGACGAGAATGGGAAGATTCCAGGCGTGCAAGCCGTGAATTGCATAGGACTCAATGTCGCTGCAGCACAAAATCAAGAGATTGAGGACTGTTATAAATCAAGCTACTGCTAAAGTTAGCAGATTGAAATCTATGCATATGTAAGAAAGTTTTCTATTTAGCGGTGATATATACAAGAAGGGGATTGCATTTAATTGACCAAGGCACGATTAATTAATTAGAGAGAGGAAAACTAAGATAGCTATATAGCAGTATTTTTGGCTTACTTCTGTCGTCAAAGGCACCATGTTTTCTCGTCGAGCATCCCCACGTAGCATCCCAGCCTGCACAGTCCAAATGATCTCCATGACCCTTGGCAGCAGCATATTTGTGCCTTTTGATAAGCTCCGAGATGCCCACAAGTGCATTGGATATGTGACGCAGCTTCTCAATCTTGTCCGAAGATATGGGGATTCTGAATCTTTGTAGAATGGACGCGAAAGAGTTGAAGTGATAGAGCAACTGCTGCGTCTCAACGAGCAGGAAATCCATTACATCCTCAGTCTCGCAACCGAGGTAAGGCAAATTCACCTTCTTCTTGAGTAGAGTGTCATCGAGGGACAGGTTAGACATGATGATGTGCTCTTGATCAGCCTTGTTTCCATTTCCAGCCAACCCATTGCCCCGGGACTTGACCTCTGTCCTCAGGAACGAGATCTCCCTCCTAAGCACCTCAAGGTGGCTAGAAAGAGCAACAACCAAGTCGTCAGGACCCATCTGACCCATCTCCTTGCCACTGGCGTCTCTCTCCGTCCCCTTGCTGAGTCCCCACTCCATGCTTATGAGGGGCGAATCTGTGCCCATCTCATTGCCGGAATCGGAATCGGGATCCCTCTCAATCTCCATCCCGGACTGCCTCATGATGGTGAGGAGTGCTTGCTCCTTGGTCCAGAGTATCTCCTGCTGAGTCAAGAGTATACTTTGCGTCGCCGGGTCCTTGGTGGACTGGCACCTCTTGTTGAGTTGGGACCGAACCTTGCTGAGTCTCTGGTGCTCCTTGTTGAGTTTGCCCACCATCTCCTGCTCTTTGCCGGACTCGATATCGGTCGTCCCCTTGCTGGAATCCCTCTCCATCGTCTCCTTCCTGAGTCTCGACTCCATCCTTATGAGGGATGGGTGCACCCCCGAACTGCCCATCTCATCGCCGGAACCGGAATCGGAATCGGGATCGATATTGTTGGTATCGGAACCGGAAGCCCTCTGAATCTCAATCCCGGACTCTCTCATCATGGTGAGGAGTGTGTCCTCCTCCATCCAGAGTTGATCCAGCTGATCCAAGAATATCCTCTGCGTCGCCGGGTCCGTGGAGGATTCACAAGTCTTGGTGAGTTGGTCCCGAAGCTTGCTGATCCTCTCCTGCTCTTTCCTGAGCTCCCCCTCCATCTCCGTCCGCTTGGTGATTCCCAATTGGGGCTCCATACTTAGGAGGGACCCTGAATCGGAGTCGGAATCGGAATCGGGATACCTATGAATCTCCGTCCGGGACTTTCCCATGATCATGAGGATATTTCGCTCCTCCGACAAGAAATGCTGCTGGGTAGCCAAGAGTGCCCTATGCCTGGCCGGGTACTTGCCTTTGTTGAGCAGCCTCGTGACATCGTGCCGAGCCTTCCTGAGAATCTCGAGTTTCTTCTCCTGCTCTTTCCTGAGCTCTGCTTCCATCTTGCTGATTCGGGACCCTGAAGCTCTGCCCATCTCGTCGCCGGAAGCGGAAAGGGTATACTTAATAATCTCCTCCCGGGACTTGCCCATCAGCTTGCTTGTCCGACAAGAATTGCTTCTGGGTATCCAAGAGTGCCCTCTGCCGCTCTGCGTGGCCGGGTCCTTGGCTTTATTGAGCAGCCTCGTGACATCGTGCCGAGCCTCCCTGAGAATCTCGAGTTTCTCAGAATCCGTCCTCTTGCTGGACTCGATCTCCGTCTCCTTCCCGACTCCACCCTCCATCTCCGTCCCCTTGCTGGACTCCATCTCCGTCTCCTTCCTGAGCTCCCCCTCCATCTCTCTCCACCTCCGGCCCCTTGCTGGATCCCCGCTGGTTTGGGTTCTGGTTGGGTGTTCAGAAGAAGACAAGACAAGACAAGAGATGGCTTCGCCGCCGCCACTCGCCTGGTCTCACGCTCACTACTAGTTTTTTTTTTAGGGGGGAAAGCCAAGTTTATTCATGAAAAACCACATGGTGTGGGATACATCTGAGGTCATGGGGTGCACCAAGCCATACGTGGCGACCCGGTCCTCTTGTAAAAGAAAACTTAGCTAGGCGATGTGCTTCTACATTGACAGCACGACTCTCAAAAACAAAATTACAAAGAAAAGGTGATGATCTAATGTTTATCTCTCTGATAATTGCTCAATAAGTTCCTCTTGCTCCGACATTGATATCCGAGACCACTTGCTGACAATCGGAAGCGACCACGAAGCTTTGGATTCCCAGGTCTTCTGCTAGAGCCAGGGCCTCTCGACACGCCATTGCTTCTAAAGTTGGTGGATCTGTGAGTCCCTGAACGACAAGTGCTGAGCTACCCATATAGTTCCCATGTTCATCTCTACATATCGCTCCCGCCGAACCACCCCTGGTTCCTAGCACTCCGCCGTCTACATGGATTTTGTAGTATCCCGGCGGTGGCTTACGGGGTCGGGTGTGTGCCTGACCTGTGGTAACACTCCTTACCACAGTTTGCTGCAACTTCTCCTTGACTATGCCGAGCTCATCCATATACCGTGTGATGAAGTCATGGGTCGCCTGGGGGGACTAGAAAATAGCTTCGTGTATTGCTTTGCACCTCGCGTGCCATATGGACCATAATGCCACCGATGCGAGTGCAAATTCATCACGTGATAACAACTCCATCAGCGTAAACAACCATTGCTTTGCTTGTGGCTCAACTGTAGCTATTATTTTATGTGTGATTTCCTCATCAATAAGAGCCCAGATGCTCCTAGAGGAGGTGCACTCGATCAGCGAGTGACGCCAGGAATCCCGAACTCCACACAGCCCGCACTGCGGCGAGTCTGTCATGTGGCGATGAGTACGGACGTCATTGGTCGGAAGCGATTGCTTAGATAATCTCCAAAGAAACATCCGTACCTTGCCCGGCACTTCTGTTTTCCACAGTGTTTTCCAGGCACCTTCCTCAGCCCTCGAGCTGGAAGGGCCCGGGATTTCATCCAGCCACGCTACTTTCCTGTTTCTGGTAGTTACTAGCATCTTATAGGCTGATTTAACAGTGAAAGTACCCTTTTTCTCATGAAACCAGGCCCAAAAATCAGTGATGTTTCGAGTGCATATTGGCATACCAAGGATAACTGTAGCATCCATAGGCATAAAAGTTTGTTGGACAAGCTGTCTATTCCATGATGCGGTCACATAATTTATTAGCTCTGACACATGTGTTGGTGGATTTGGCGAGATACTCCCGTAGGGACGCATCATCTCCTCTCTGGGTAGCCAGTTATCGGTCCATATGTTTGTATCTGCTCCATTGCCAATTCTCTTTATCAATCCTTGCTTAAGAACATCCCTTCCCTCGATAATGGCCCGCCATACCTGGCTCGGATGGCTTCCCAATTCAGCCTGGAGTATATCAGAAGACGGGTAGTATACACTTTTCAGTACGCGAGCACTCAGCGACTCTGGATCTTGCATCAAGCGCCACGCCTGCCTGGCAAGCATGGACAAGTTACATAGTTCAAAATCTTTGAAACCGAGACCTCCCATTCCCTTGGGCTGTGTCATCGTTTTCCAGGAGACCCAATGTGGCTTGCGTTTTTCATCTTTTGCACCCCACCAAAACTTTCGGATGAGCATGTTCAAGTGTTCACATAGGCCTCTAGGTAGTTTGAAGCATGACATGGAAAATACTGGGACAGCCTGCGCAACGGATTTGACAAGAACTTCCTTACCAACCGCGGACATAGTACGCTCAATCCAACCTTGAACCTTACTCCAGAGTCGGTCCTTAAGATATTTGAAGGCACCGTTCTTTGAGCTTCCCATGTCCGACGGCATACCCAAGTACTTCTCATTTAGTGTTTCATTGGGAACTTGAAGAGTCTCTTTGATCTCCTGTCTGACCAAGTCAGGAACCCCCTTGCTGAAATAGATTGATGATTTGGAGTAGTTGATGCGCTGCCCAGTTGCTTGGCAATAAGTGTCCAGAACATGGTGCACCTCAGTTGCCCCCACATTGTTTGCTTTGAAGAACAGCAGGCTATCATCAGCGAATAGAAGGTGGCTTACCGGTGGCGCCGTAGGGGCTACCTGTAGTCCACCCAAATTGGATGACTCACTTTTAGATTTTAACAGGCACGAAAGGCCCTCTGCTGCCAACAAGAACAAATATGGAGAGATTGGGTCCCCTTGTCTAATGCCTCTTGATGGAATAAATTGTTGTAACTTCTTCTCATTGAACAAAACAGAGAACTTGACTATGGTAACCAAGCTCATTACAATATCAACCCACCTGTTTGTAAAACCAAGCTTTAACATGATTGCCCTCAAATAAGACCACTCCACCCTATCATAAGCTTTCATCATATCAAGTTTGAGAGCATACGACTGATGTTTCTTGGCCTTGTTCCTCTTCATAAAATGTAAACATTCATACGCAGTGATGATGTTGTTTGTAATCAGCCTGCCGGGAACGAAAGCTGATTGCTCCTCTGATATTATTTCAGGTAAAACTACCTTGAGCCTGTTAGATATAACCTTGGAAGAAATCTTGTACAAGACATTGCATAGGCTTATTGGGCGGAACTGAGATAAGAGGGTTGGATTTTTTACCTTTGGTATGAGTACCAAAATTGTGTCATTTATACACTCCGCCGACTCCGTACCCTCCACTATCCTCAGGACCGCCTTGGTTACCTCATTCCCACATATGTCCCAATGGTGTTGGAAAAAATGCGTTGGGTATCCGTCGGGACCAGGTGCTTTCATTGGGTACATCTGAAACAGAGCCGTTTTCACCTCCTTGCTTGTATATGGGGCATTTAACATGTTGTTCATAGCTTGGGTTACTTTTGTTGGGACCGTGTTCAATACCTGCTCCATATCGTGTACCCCCTCTGATGTATAGAGATTCTGATAGAAAGTTGTGGTCATGTTCTCCAGCTCAATGACATTTTCCGTAACCTGGCCATTCGGACACTGGAGGGCCTTTATTTGGTTTTTTCTCCTTCTTCTACTTGCCCGGAGATGAAAGAAATATGTATTTTTATCACGATGCATCAGCCACTCCAACCGGGCACGTTGCCTCCACAGTATCTCTTCTCTGTGATACAGCTCAGTCAATCTGTCAATTAATTTAATCTCCAAATGTCCTGGGGTTTCAACTTTCGAGCACCCCCGGGACCGGGCCGGGCCGGGCCGTCTCACGCTCAGCCAGGCACCGGCCCACTGGATTTTGCCCAACACAATCAAGCGCAAGGATTCCACAAACACACGGTCATCATTTTTCACATTTAAGAGCCAATAATTTCTCAGCAAACCAATCAATCAATCACACGTATCAAGACAGGGTTTTCTTTTTTGGGGGTGGTAAAGCAAATTCACCTTCTTCTTGAGTAGAGTGTCATCAAGGGACAGGTTAGGCATGATGATGTGCTCTTGATTTGATCAGCCTTGTTTCCATTTCCAGCCAACCCATTGCCCCGGGACTTAACCTGTGTCCTCAGGAACGAGATCTCCCTCAAGGGTTTAATTGCTAACCCGACGAGTCCGATGGCTCCCGCGTGCGCTGGCTCTGGCGACGCCCACGTCGCCTCGGCGGCGCCGCTGCCGCTGCCGCCCTCGCCCCTGGCCTCGCCCGCAGCCGGTG